GTGAATCGTTTCATTCATGTGGCAAAAGCACATCTGGGATCAACAAATTGGAATCAGAATCTGATCTAGTGTGCAGTTAGTTGTCCATTCTTATAGACAATTGTTTCCAGACTTCTGCCCTGAATTAATTCCTAAAAATTAAGTTTAAAATGTCACTCGTGGGTATAAAAGATTCTTACAACAAATGCAAAGTTTTGGTGAATTCATATCAGCAGAACACTGCAGAACATGTAAGGAACATAGTCTAAATGTTTAGATAGAAATACATACTTCTTTTCAGTCAGCATTCTATAACCAATGTGTTTGAGGCACTAAGAATCCCAAGAGTTTGTTTTGTTAATTAACTAAAACCTTGATCCAAAGGAAGAAAATAATAATTAAAGTGGAAAGGCAGAGGAAGATGTAGAGGAAGAGGAAGTAGGGAGATGGGATTTGAAAGTGAATTATTATGTAAAATCCTCAAAGAACATCCAGAGATAACTCCTTCCTCAAGGCCATGTGAAGCCCATTTCCAAGGGGAACACCAATATTCTTTAGTAGCTCCATGGTGGTTATACATTTAGAGGGAACTGCTGCCTTGAACTGGGATTCCCCCAGAGTTAAAAATGAGGATGATACTGTGGAGTAGCAAGCTCAAATTTCAGTCACACCTCAATGAATTCCTGCTTGTAAAGGTTAATTGTGGTTTGAGAAGGGTGTCTGCTTATGCTTGTTCTAGGAGCACTGGATCAACTCACCAAAGCCAAAGCTGATGACAGACCAAATCATTATGTCTGTTTGACTCTGTTGTCCATAGCAGATACCTTGCCTACTTTCTCTTCTAGGTTGAAAATAGAGAAGGGAAGTGCTATTTAAAAATACCACTGCTCAAGATGAGGTGGTTCATGTCTGTAATCTTAGCACTGAGGACACGGATTCAAAAGATTGCTATGAGTGCATGGTCAGCCTATTCAACAGAATAAGTTCCAGCCCAGCTGGAGAACAGTGTGATACCCTGTCTCAACATAGTTCCAAAGAGAAATACTTGAGTTCAATATTCAGAGAAATCATCTAGAAACAACTGCTTATTGGTAAACTTAATTGCTTTAGAAAACAAAGCAAGGATTGAGGATATAGCTCAGTGGTGGGCTTGCCTAACATGCTTGGAAACAGGTTCAATCCTGAATACAAAAAGAACGAAGAAAAGAAAGCAAAGCAGAGGGAAAAGGAAAGAAAAGAATGGAAGAGAAGAGAAAAGAACAGAGAAAGGGGTGAAGGATTCAGTGTACCAGGAACATTGGTTCAGAAGCTATCTTCCTGCCATGATGTTTAAGTGCTTCCCTAAAACAAGTATCAGGCTAAAGTAGATAACCTTTAAAGTCCCTTTCAAAACCAGCTTCACTTAGTCCATAAAAAGTGAACAGAGAACATAAAAGAAGGGAAAAGAATTTCTGAGCTGCATGGGAAAAGCATTATGAACACGACACATGAATTGAGCTGGTGGCTTGGAGAACGAGCACATCCTACATCCATAATATAAGATCTCAACATCTTATATACACATAAAAGCTAATTAAACTGAGCTTTCACAATTCACTTGTGTCACTGAAAAGGAGACTTCTTAAGTGTATGATAAGAAATCTTTAACAAGTAAAATAGCCTATAAGGTACAAAGCATGGGTGGGAAGCAGCCTCATGGCTCAGAGCATCAAATATCACATTGGCAGCCCTGAAGTGAAATGTGGCGCATATTTTGTCTTGGATTTTGGAGCTAAAGAGATTCTAGCAGATGATATTTTATATCCTCATTATGGCTGCAGAATTATTCTAAGGGGTGGTCCTAATCAGAGTAAGTATTGATCAAGCTTTAGTCTCTTCAGATTCCATAAATGAAGTTCTTCTTTAGCCTCTGGGGACTGATATCTGCAAGGAAATCAGGAGACCTGTCCCCCAACTACCTTCAGAATTCATTGTGGGAGGTGTAGACCAAAGGTGAGTTTACACATCAGTGACTAAAGTTTCCTGCCACTAAGCTGAAGAAGTCACTCATGAGCAGCGTCCCTAAACCACAGCTACAGGATGTGGGCACAAGTCCTTGTATAATTGTTGGCCCAAAGCCAATGAGCATTCATCCCTGTGCAAATACTTGGGCTTTTTTGTTGTTGTTAACCTTTGAAAACCACAGGCATTAGCCTCTCTCTTTCTTCCCCTTGGCACAAGTCATCTTCTTTTCTCCAACTTGGTCTCTTGTGTTAAAGAATTTCTGAGGAGCTTTTAAGCCTAAATTTAATACTTTTGCCCTCCCTCTCCTGCCCTACAAAATGCCAGGCAGAGGTAAAACTGCCTCACAAAACATCTGCTGGCTCTGCCGGCTTCCGCAGCTTTGTTTGGGCGTTTTGATCAGATAGGAAATCAGAGAGCTCTATGAGTGACCTTAGCCTTTAAGAAAATAAAGGTAATTTCTGGAAATCCCCCCACCCACCCAACAACTGTGGCCTATTGTTTTCTCACTTCAGAATTAACCCAGCCACTTGATACAATGATTCAAATGAAATGCTTGTCCTCTGTATTGGACAGAGCAATGGGTCAAAAATAGGAATGAGAAAATTTAGTCTAATCCCAGTGTTGCCAAGAATTTACTTTTTTAGAGTATTTTTTTCTAGTTTCTAGGCCTAAGCTTCATATTCTGTGAAATAAAAGCTTTAGCTTAGAAGGTTTCTAGCCTTCCTTTGCCCCAGGGCTCTGGAAATTGGCTCTCTTAGTAACATTTCAACAAAGGGACAATGAAACTGGGTCTCAAGGCAAAAGATCTCAAAGCAAGGCACCACATAAATTAGCCTTTCTTTTCTATGTTAAAAGATGAACAGAAGTTTTGCCTCCAAAGCAGCCCAACTGACCACTGAGAAGTCGGGCATAGTGACCATTAACAGCCTGTTTCCATAAACTAGAAGCTGTATCAGCCTTACTTTTGTTCCAAATTGCCCCACACCCTAGAACGGAAACCTACGCTTGCACTACTCCAGCCAGCATGTTTTTAAATGAAAGAACTGGCAGACAGACATTGCTGGTTCTAAGTCAACAGAAGGAGAGTTCGATAATCATCGAAACTGCTAGAGATGTATCTGTGAGGATTCTGTTGATAGATATTCAAGCAGTTTCCAAAGGAAAGCTTACTGGAAATTTTACAGCGGGGATAACTGAATGAAACAAAGATCACATGAAGAAGACCACCAACCAAGACACTTTTGTAATAATATCTTTTATTTTAAAGACTTCACATATCCAGTCTAATTTCAACTGAGATTCACAGTTCTCATTTGGGAAACTGTGCAGAACATTTGAGATGACAATCTGAAGGAAAATCCCAGGAGTGCATGCAACTCCCCTGGTTTGGGTCAGTTGAGCTTAAGGAAAAAGGACCCAAGAGAGAATGTCAAATTTCAACTAGAAAAACTATAGTACACTCATGGTGGCAAAGAAACAGTTCCTGGAAAGACATGAATTGAGGCACCTTGGATGCTCCCCCATGCTGTAGAAGACACATCCTATAGGCAGGTACTTAATACTATATCTTCTAATGAAAGAGTTTAAATGTATTTCACTGAGCCTTCACATGAACTTTGGGAAATAAGCAGAAATTGCCTGTACTTTGGATTTGAGAAAATTAAACACCAGCAAAATTCAAGTAATTTCTTACAAAGTCACATGACTAATTCAGCACTTTACAATGTATCTGAATGTTTAGCACTATCATTTAGAGAATCAGAGGGTCACTGGCTTGAAAGGATTATGTAAGTTTTTCAGTACTATACTTTACCAGTGTCTTTCACAATATACATATTATCTAGTATTTTTTTTTATCTTTTTGAGACAAGGTCTCCCTGTAGCCCCAGGCTGGCCTCGGACTCACAGAGATCTGCCCGCTTCTGTCTCCCAAGTGCTAGATTAAAGGCATGCACCACCATACCCGGCATATCTAGTAACTTTTTTAAATATTTATATAAGTGAATTGGTGTTTCAAGAAGTACCTAACACTTTCCATCATTGGATATTTGATACTGAAAAGATGTTCTCTCTTATCTTGAAGTACTACCCAAATTCCTGAGAATCCTGCTTTCTGGAGCCCATTTATCAGTTTGCGAAATATCTTATTTGAACATCTTCAATGAAAGTTCTCATGTGAGATAAGTTCCCACTTCATCCTGTGAAACAGGTACCATATCTCAGAACAAGTGCATCTCTTTCCTCTCACACATTCTGAGCAGGCTCTATTAATGATGCTACACTGTGTCCTATAGAAAGTCATTTGGGAACAATCTGGCTCAGGTTTACAAGAGAGACAGATGCACAGCGCAGTCAGTCATGGGGTAGTCCTTTGATGGTAATGCAGTGGAGCATGCTGGCCATTTCAGGGGCTTCTGCCAGTGACTCCCACTCCTCCAAGGCATTTGGGGATTTTCAGGCAACAGTATAATAATTTGCCAATAATGCCTGCCTCAGCAGCACTGCCAAAACAACTGAGTGATTTTCATCCCACTACTGTTGACAGAACAGCTAAGGATTTCAACATTTCCTCTCACAATCTGAATAGAAGTTCCATGCCTTAGGGACTTCGGCAGTATTTGCCATCATGGAGGGCGGGGGGATGTAGGTGTCATAAAGAAGGATGAAGGAACGAACAAGATGCTAATGAAAGTAAGCAAAATAAAATGAAAGTTATTCAAGATCTGGGTTTTAAACACGTGCACCAAATTGAAAATTATGAATGTATAAAAAAATAAAGCTTTGAAACCAAGGAAACAAGCTTTTGGATTAAGAAACACTAAAAAGTAAACTTCAGACAACCCCAAAAGTAAAGCATCCTAGGTTATCAAGTTTTTAGACTTCCTAAAACACTAATGATTTGGTCCTTTAAATACTACTTAAAAGTAACTAACTATTGTAGTCCAAAAATACAGTGAGCCTAAACAAAGCTTTCATGTTGCTTTATCTACAGATGATGTACTTTGGAACAAAGGCTCTCAAAAGCCAATGCTCCCACGGGCAAGGGAATAGCCGAGTTTGTTGCGGTTTCCAATAAATGACATGAGCCCAGTGTAGGTCTCTATCAGAATGGGTTGGGTTAACACCATCAATTCAGTTCCTCTTCTAGATCCAGTGGAATTCTTGTGGGCATTCCGGATAGCTGGAACAAGCTTGGATGTGAACCCAGACAACTGAAGAGCAAAAAGAGAAGCGTAGGGTTAATGAACACAGGGAGGCTCCAACAGCACTGCTTCCTCAGCCAGTCCTCGCCAAGCTGGGCCACCTGCTCCAGCAGCAGTGCCTATGTCTTAAAGGTAAATGGTTTCTCAGAACACTTGGCATTGCTTTTGCTTGTCTTTTCACAGATTAATCAGTTAATAAAGTGTGCCTGTAGTAAAGTTGTCTGCCCCACCTTATTTATTTTTCATTGCTCCTAACTTGTACAACATTTAAGGTATCAATTTAATAAATATTTGCTGACATTCTATTATGAATTAGATACTTGTTAGATGCTGTTGAATAGAAAAGGCCATGTATGCTAAACTATCCTCAAAGAAGACTATGATGGAGAATCTAAGAAATGAACCTGCCTCAGTAACATAAAATGCATTAAAATAGGCACAAAATGCTAATGGAACACAAAAGAGGGAGACATCATGCACAGTGAGAGGATGTCAGGAATGACTTCAAAAGGAGACCCCGGGACAATCCACAAAGACTAGTCAGATTTCGATGGGTGGAAATGAGGGTCAACAGACGTTAGCAAGGCCCTCATAGAAGGCTGCTCTTTCTTCCAGCCCAGCATCCTTTCCACCACTTGGAATTCTGCTGAAGAGTACCTGGCCTTCCACCTTCCACTTCACTCATAAGCAGAGTTTAAATAGCAGTGGTGTTAGCTCATGGCTCAGGCCAAATCAGTCAGAGGAATCTGTTCCTCGGGTCCCAAAGGTTGATTCAGGTAAGAGCACCATCCCAGCATGATGGTGAGCAAACTGACAGAATAGGAGCCTTATTTTTTTCTGGATATTTTACACTGGATGCATTCTTGATTTATACAACTCCTACAATAAAAATCTAATCTTTATTTCAAATTTAGCTATTACAGTTTCTATTTTTAGAATAATATTTTAATACTATTGTTTTCCTTGTTTTAGTTTAATATTATTGAAATAAATTTAACACTATCAGTTTAAAATATTTAATAATAGTGTTTAGCACTATTAAGTCTAACAATTTTTCTCGGGACAAACTTTGTTTTTAATGTTAGAATTAATATGTGGAATTTCAATTTGTTTATCCTCTATATAAGGCCACTTTTAGTTTTAGCTGCATTAATTTGTAGAAGATAGATAAATAGGTGATAGATAGATGATAGATAGAAGATATTTAGATGATAGATAGATAGATAGACAGATGATATATAAATAATTTCCATCAGCATTCAATTAACTTTATCATCAACAGATATAAGGTTATCTAATCTAATTCAGGAAATACTTACCAAGCACCTACACTCTGCTTTGGGTATGCTCTAAGTGCTAGAATTGATAGGCAAGAACCTGTTCTCGTGGAGCTAATATTATGGTAATAGGAGTTAAATATAAAAATAGTAAATGTAGGTGATTGATATCAGTGACTTCTAGGTGGAAAACTACATTTGGTAAAGGGGTGGAAAGTGATGGGATTGACAGACTGTCTCATGTCAGGTTTGGAGAGAAGCCTGTTGGGAGCTATAAAAGTTGAGTTGAAATTCAAATCATGAAAAGTAGATAGTCAGGTGGAAAGGTATTTCACACAAAAAAATAAATGAATAAAGCATATGCAGACCTTGGAGTAGAGATGAGTTTGTGGAGCACAGAAGAGGCCTACAAAACTGGATAAAAAGGAAGTCTGGGGCAACAGGCATGGAGCCTTTGGGGACATACAGGGATGTTGGGTGGATGTGATGCTGGGAAAGAGTTCAATGTTCTTTGATTTTTTTTTTAATTGTGGGGTGTTATGTGTTAGAATGTGTGTGTGTGCGTGCGTGTGTGTGTGTGTGTGTGTGTGTGTGTGTGTGTGTGTGTGTAGAGGACAGCTTTTAGGAGTTGGGTCTCTCCTTCTACCTTATGGGTCCTAGAGATTGAACTCAGGTCATCATATTTGGTGGTAGGTGGTAGGGTACCTTTACCCCCTGAGCCATCTTGCTGGCCCAATGTTCTTTGACTTTGATGTTTGAAATATAATACTAGTTGTTATGTGGAGTCAGGAATAAAATGATGTGAGGCCATAAATGAAAGTAGGAAAACAAGATGTTTAGAGATCACTGCTGAAGCCCAATGGATGATGGAGGCTAGACCAGGACAGCAATGGAGAACACAATGCAGTTAACTGAAGATACTATGAAGTAGGAAAGAAGAGCAGACCTTGCTGATATAATTGAATGTAGGGCTGAAGAGAGGAATCTTCACAGTTTGGGCCTAAACAACTGAGGTGGATGGTGATGTCCTTACTGAGGTGGGAAAGCCTAGAAGAGGTAAAGATTAGAAATGGTAAGGCATTAGTATAAAGAGTTCAACTTAGACATGTTGATTGAGTTGCCCAACCAGTAAGTCTCTTATAGACTTCTAATAGGCACCGAATACATGAATCTGAATCACAAAGACCTGTACAGATGACAAGTTCAAGTGTGTGGTAAATTTTCCCCAACAATAATCACAGATGAAGCAAATAACAGTATGTATAATGTGAAGTTAACAACTCAGAAAAGATAAAGTAAAAGACACAGAGTAGGGGGGCTGGAGAGATGGCTCAGCGGTTAAGAACACTGGTTGTTCTTACAGAAGACCCAGGTTCGAATCCCAGCACCTACATGGCAGCTAACAACTGCCTGTAACTCCAGTTCCGGGGGATCTGATGGCCTCTTCTGTCCTCCGCAGGCATTGCATGACACAGGTGCACTTAGCTACATGCAGGCAATACACATATATACATAAAATAAAAATAAATAAATAAAAATATGTATAAAAGACACAGAGTAGAAATCAGCAAATTCAAATAACTTTGATTGAATAAGATGCTGAATATTTGAGTCCAGGAGGAATGGATCTAAGAGGTAAACAGGCTTCTGGTGTTTCAGCGATTTATCTGAAACCAAATAATTAGCAAGCAGCAGGCTTGGATTCAAGTCTCCTGTCTTAACTCCTAAATTTCTTTCTTCAATGGTCTTGATATGAAAAGCATAATAAATTTTTAATTTCTAGAACATTTAGTGTTGAAATTCTTATATTCAGAAAAATATTCTTGTTTCTTATTTTTAAAAAGACAGAGAAAATATTGAGCTCAATAATTTTCAAACCATGTCCCTTAAACAGTATGCCTGCTTCATACTTGAGTGACCACACGCAACTTATTATCCAAGCCTGGATTCCTGAAAAGCAAGAAGATACTATTACTGATAATGTTAGGATAATAGGTTCCTGAGGTTTGAACCAAAGGATGTGAAAGAAAATGCTGATCACTCACACCAGTCAGAGGTTCAATACTTTTAGCTCTTTCGTATATAGATAGATAGATAGATAGATAGATAGATAGATAGATAGATAGATAGATAGATATAGATATAGATATAGATATAGATAGATTGCAGTCAGATTTTATTTTTAAAAGATGATTTATTAATGGAAATCATTGAATCTCTAACTCTGACTCTACATGATTCAATTCACAAAGCTCTGTAGAGTCCACTTACCTACTTATCTTTCAAAGCCAGGCTCAAATCCTGTCACTTCCGCAATGTCTTCCCATATAATCCAACCAAAAGTCAATCTTTTCTTCTGTTGTATTTCACTAATATCTCCACTCATAGTTTTCTAAGTGGTGTTGCAAGTGTACCTGTTTCACAGTAAGCCACCATGGGACTATTTAGATTGGGTAATTTTTCACCATGGGAAGGAATATCTTCTGTATTTAGGATGTGAAGCAGTTTCTGTATCACTTACCCCTCAGACACCAGCAACACTTCTGCCCCAGGTAGAAGAACTAAAGTCAGACATTCCCGGAAGTTCTCTACCACTCAAAGGATCCTTCCTCTTAAGAGTCAGTGAACTCAGCTAGGCAGGATGCAGGAGGATGAACAGTTGGAGGCGTTCCTAGGCTATGTAGCAAACCCCTAGCTCTTAAAAAACACTCAACTAAAGGACATAGAGCCTCTTGATACATGTAATATTAAGTAAAGGGATTGGCTAGGTCTAATGTTAAGTTGTAAGTATGGCATCCACTTACATGCATGCAGGCAGTGCACTCATGTACATAAAATAAAAATAATAAATAAAATATTAAAAACTGTGACCTTGAATTGATTGTCAGGCAATTACAAATTGAGGTCTAAATTGCCATAGAGAAATGGTACTGGAGGCAGTTCAGATCATGTAACCTTGGATAAAGGCTTGAGTTACTGGGGTGGTTGTTTAGGAATATGCTTGAGAGAGGAGTATTAATATTAAAGGTTATACCAATTCAAGCTTACATGCTCTCTAAATTATTGATCTATAAAATCACTATCAAATTTATATAATAACATGTAAAAGACCATTATATCTTTTTTAGATCACATTAAATGTTGACCATTTCCTCATCTGGCAAATATGTGGCTCAAAATGTGGTACCTCTTTTCAGACAATCCTCCTTATCTGTCTACCTAAATAACCTTTTCCAATCTGCATTGTGTACATACTTTATACTACTCACATAAAACAATTGTGAAAGTGAAAGATACTAGGTTTTTGGCATTGAAAGTACTAACATAAGCACGCAAAAATAATATATTTGTAGTTTATAATATGAATGGCATTTTCATATAAACCAATTAACAAAAACCTATAGGATCAGGGTAAGTATCTTCATTAAAAAAAATCAAGGCAATGATTTCAAAAAAAAAATAAATAAATAAGGCAAGCATGGTGGTGCCTTTAATCCCAGCACTGGGGAGGCAGAAGCAGGTGGATTGCTGTGAGATTTGAGCCAGCCTGGTCTACATAGCAAGTTCCAGGCCATCTGGGCTACAGGGCTACAGGTCTCAAACAAACCAAACAGAAAAAAAAAGCAAAAACAAAACAGGCACTTAAAGGTAGGGAGTAAGTGAATAAACTCAGCCCATACATTAATAAACATTCATCCATAGCAAACAACAGGGAAATGGATGTAAACCTGA